GATACAATACATATCACTATACACAGGTCAAGATACAATATGTATCAGGATACACAGGTCAAGATACAATACATATCACTATACACAGGTCAAGATACAATATGTATCAGGACACATAGGTCATGATACAATACATATCACTATACACAGGTCAAGATACAATATGTATCAGGACACATAGGTCAAGATACAATACATATCACTATACACAGGTCAAGATACAATATGTATCAGGACACATAGATCAAGATACAATACATATCACTGTACACAAGTCAAGATACAATATGTATCAGGTCACATAGGTCATGATACAATATGTATCAGGACACACAGGTCAAGATACAATATGTATCAGGACACATAGGTCAAGACACAATACATATCACTATACACAGGTCAAGATACAATATGTATCAGGACACATAGATCAAGATACAATACATATCACTGTACACAAGTCAAGATACAATATGTATCAGGACACATAGGTCATGATACAATACATATCACTACACAAGTCAAGATACAATATGTATCAGGACACATAGGTCATGATACAATACATATCACTATACACAGGTCAAGATACAATATGTATCAGGACACATAGGTCATGATACAATACATATCACTATACACAGGTCAAGATACAATATGTATCAGGACACACAGGTCATGATACAATACACAATATCACCGTACACAGGTCAAGATACACCATGTATCAGGACACATAGGTCAAGATACAATACATATCACTATACACAGGTCAAGATACAACATGTATCAGGACACATAGGTCATGATACAATACAGCACAGGTCAAGATACAATACATAGCACTGTACACACGTCAAGATACATGTATCAGGACACAGGTCATAATACAATACATATCACCATACACAGGTCAAGATACAATATGCATCAGGACATGTAGGTCAAGACACAATAAATATCACTATACACAGGTCAAGATACAATGCATATCACTATACACAGTCAAGATACAATATGTATCAGGTCACAGGTCAGGATACACATGTATCAGGACACAAGGTCAAGATACGATATGTATCAGGACACATAGGTCATGATACAATACATATCACTATACACAGGTCAAGATACAACATGTATCAGGACACACAGGTCATGATACAATACATATCACTATACACAGGTCATGGTACAATACATATCACTATACACAGGTCAAGATACAATATGTATCAGGTCATATACAGGTCAGGATACAATATGTATCAGGATCACAGGTCAAGATACGATATGTATCAGGACACACAGGTCATGATACAATACATATCACTATACACAGGTCAAGATAATATGTATCAGGACACATAGGTCATGATACAATACATATCACCGTGCACAGGTCAAGATACAATATGTATCAGGACACATAGGTCATGATACAATACATATCACTATACACAAGTCAAGATCATGTATCAGCACAGATAGGTCATGATACAATACATATCACTATAGGTCAAGATACAATACATGTATCAGGACACATAGGTCATGATACAATACATATCACTATATACAGGCAAGATACAATATGTATCAGGACACATAGGTCATGATACAATACATATCACTATACACAGGTCAAGATACAATATGTATCAGGACACATAGGTCATGATACAATACATATCACTATACACAGGTCAAGATACAATATGTATCAGGTCACATAGGTCATGATACAATACATATCACTATACACAGGTCAGATACAATAACATATCAGGACACATAGATCATGATACATGTACACAGGTCAAGATACAATATGTATCAGGACACATAGGTCAAGATACAATACATATCACTATACACAGGTCAAGATACTAAATATCAGGATCAGGTCATGATACATACATATCACTACATACAAGTCAAGATACAATACAGGACACACAGGTCAAGATACAATATGTATCAGGACACATAGGTCATGACACAATACATATCACTATACACAGGTCAAGATACAATATGTATCAGGACACATAGGTCAAGATACAATACATATCACTATACACAGGTCAAGATACAATATGTATCAGGACACATAGGTCATGATACAATACATATCACTATACACAGGTCAAGATACAATACATATCACTATACACAGGTCAAGATACAATATGTATCAGGACACATAGGTCATGATACAATACATATCACTGTACACAGGTCAAGATACAATACATATCACTATACACAGGTCAAGATACAATATGTATCAGGACACATAGGTCATGATACAATACATATCACTGTACATCATCTATCAGGTCATCTTACATGCGTGCACACATAATAGATAAAATATCTTAGGTATATTGAGAAGTTTGATTTCAACACATGGACTTGGCAACCTGCGGTCTTTCTAATCATTTCACATATTCTTATTGAGGTTTTCAGAGGTACAGATAAGCGTATCTGTCAGAAGTTACGCAAATATTTATGTGAAAACTCAATTCCCATTAAGTCTATTGCGTACAAGTACGCTTGATTTTTTAAAATGCCCAATATATTTGATCTTACATCCGTACACACAAAGTAGATAAAATAACTGAGGTATATTGAGAGGTTCTATTTCAGCACATGAACTTGTCAACTTGCAGTCAGTCTGATCATTTCTAATATTACAGATTAAATATAAATAACAAACACGTAAACCAACATTCAAACTTTACTATAGTTTCACAATTAATGAAAAATGGCAAAATACCCAATTGAGTTTGAGAGAGGTGGGTACAAGTTACTCAAGGAAAATTGGGATACTCAATTGATATAAACACTAGCAAGTACATAACTCAATGACACAAAAGCTGTAACTCTGTATCCACTGTAAATATCCACAGAAAATGATCAATATAAAACATAAATAATAATTTGCAAGTGAATACATAATAGCTCACTGCGCGTTTTGGGACAGTAGGGTAGCCTAGTGGTCATAGCGCTTCACGCTGAAGACCTAGTTTCAATTCCCCGCACGGGTAAAATGTGTGAAGCCAATTTCTGGACCATGATAATGCTGAAATATTGCTAAAAGCGGCATAAAACTAAATTCACTCACCCACTGTACGTATAACTAGAACATGTAGGTGAGAACAAACCCAGGGTCCAGTGAAGAGGGACAACTTGTTGTTTAATGCCGCACTCAGCAATATTCCAGCTATATGGTGGCAGTCTGTAAATAATCAAGTCTGGACCAGACAATCCAGTGATCAAAAGCATGAGCATTCATCTACGCAATTGGGATACAATGACATGTGCCAACCAAGTCAGCCAACCTGATGGAAGTTCCAGCATTGCCCTAATCTCACCTCACCTCAAGCTTTTAGCTTTAAATGCTTAAATACTTTGCCACACTTTCTGAAATAAAAGGCTCTAGTGATTAAAGAGCTGAAGGTTCAATGGCTGAAAGCCTTTGTTTGATTACCAAAACAGTTATTTTTTTGGCCACTTGTAAAGCTCACATGAGCTGTTTTCACTGATATTTAGAATTTTACATGTTAATTCATTTCATTGAGAGGTATGTACCCAGTTCTATAAAACATGCAGGAGGCAACAACGTTAACCTATTAGGTCTGAGTGAGTTTAGTTTTGCGCCGCACTCAGCAATATTCCAGCTATATGGCAGCAGTCTGTAAATAATCGAGTCTGGACCAGACAATCAAGCGATCAACAGCATGAGCATCAATCTACGCAATTGGGGACCGATGACATGTGTCAACCAAGTCAGCGAGCCTGACCACCCGATCCCGTTAGTCGCCACGTACGACAAGCATGGGTTATTAGGAACACAATATAAGAAGAAATACGGTACAAGCGACACTACTCACTACACCATGCTCCTTATCCGGAAACATGTAAACAATTTTTTAAACAATTTGATTTTTAAATTTGTGAGGAGTGAGGGCTAATTTGATTTTGAGATTTGACTGACTGAGTGACTGACTGAGTTTGGTTTTACGCCGCTTTTAGCAATATTCCAGCAACATCACGGCGGGGGACACCAGAAATGGGCTTAACACATTGTGCCCATGTGGGGATTCGAACTCGGGTCTTCGGCGTGACGAGCCAACGCTTTAACCATTAGGCTACCCCACCGCCCCGATTTGATTTGGTTTAAGGGACCGTTCATAATTTATGGCTAGGGGGGTTGATGATGATTTTTATGGAGAAGCATGTACAATGTGAATGACCCCTCTAACATTTATGTACAAAGTAAGTGACCCACCCCTGCACGTCATGTACAAAATCAATTACTCACCTCCCATAAGTTTTAAACATAATTTTTAAATATTTTTATGTACAAAATTGCTGACCCCTATCCCCCCTCCCCTTAAAATCATCATCACCCCTAGCCATAAATTATGAACGGTCCCTCACATTATTTTCCCTTCACCCATCCCTACAATAAAGCCCTAAATAAAGCAAGTCTAGATTTCTTCAGGTTCTGATTCTCCCATCTCAATTGTGTTAGTTTTCAGTGCGAAGGAATTATTAGCTTCCATCCAAATTATATATATTCAAAGTATAAGCGTTTTGGTCCATGTTTACCTGATTTCAGCGTGTGCCATACATTTTCCCCGGTGTGGTCCGGTTGAGTGAGTCTCATAACATTACGGCTTGGTGAATGAGATCCAACATATTCGTTATATAAACCTCAATCAAGCCAATGAACTTGTCGACCGAATCACGAATCTGTTTAAACCACCTCCGTCGCTATATGGTGAAATAACGCCGATGCGACGCACAGGTTCGATTCATCTCAAACACCATAGTTGCATTCACGTTTTGTGAAAGTAAAACCCGGACCACAACGTTCGGTTGACTCAAACACTCAAAAGAAATTGTATGTGAAATGAGAATCTAGATTATCATAATGCATGTTTGAATGACGTTGTAATTTATATACACAGTATTTTGACTGACTCTACCTTTATCACGTCGCTGAAGTGTCCTCCATTTTCGCCACTAGCGTCGAGATAGCCATGTGTATATGTCCGTTCACAGCCGGGAGGCCAGCTCGTGGATGTTGACCCAAATCATATTGACTCAGCCACAGCACTGCACAATCCTGTCCGTTGTTATAACGGAGCTTTCGTTGTTATCGGCGATTTTACAAACGAGGCAGTCGGAAGCAGACAATGTCTACATAATCTCGACTGTAGGCTTCACAATCTTTCGCTGGTGAGGATTTGGGCTCATAAATTATGTCTCACCAACGTCCGATTCAACCTATCATTCTCTCGCTCTCTCACCGCGACGTCAGTGAATACCAGTCGCCTATCTGAATCGAGTAGGAAGGAACTCGCTTAATTTGTAGCAAAGCTGTCAGCTGTGGTGGCTGATTAGGGCCATCGCTTTCTCGTCTTAAAATCCGGAGGCCCTAATCAGCCACCGTCATGGTAGCTGTCAGCTGTCAACCTACAATATTGCTTAAAGCGGCGTAAAAGTAAATTCACTCACTTTTACTCGGCTTGGAGTGAGTTTGGTTATACGCTGCTTTCATCAACATGTCATGGTGTGGGGCACCAGAAATGAGCTTCACACATTGTACCCATGTGGGGAATCGAACCCGGGTCTTCAGCGTGACGAGTGAACGCTTTAACCATTAGGCTACTCCACCGCCTGTGCTCGGCTAGGGAAACCACCAATAATTATTATTATTAGTAGTAGTAGTATTTTTATTATTATTATGTTTTACAGATTTAAGATAGTATGCAGCAGAGAGAGTTCGGGTGATCCTGGCACAGTCAGGCTGGTAAGGCTCATCATCAGCTCAGGGCCCTTGCCCCCTCTACACGCAGCCCAGACAGCGAATGGGACTTCTCCCAGGAAACACTGCCTAGTCGAACCCACCAAGAACTTTCCGGAGAATATGAAGGCTCCCCAACACTGCAGCCTTCTGCATTACCCAGAGTGTCAGAAGGGCTGTACTCCCGGTGGAGAACCCGGGCACTCTCCTGATCTGCGCCAAGAGATCAGGACATAGGCGTAGGAACTGGTGGGGGGGTCAGCTGCCCCCCCCCCCAAAAAAAAAAATATATCGGGGGCGCTACCCCCCATAATTTCACAACCTGGACCATAATAGAGGGACCATAATAGAGAATTAAACACAAATTCAAGCCTCTGGTAACGTTGAAAAAATAACATGATCACAAAAAAAAATTCCGCTAATGATGGAATCCAAATTTTTTAATTCATGTCACTCAAAAGTGAAAGTAGAGGCAGTCAGGCTGTTATTAACAGCCAACATGGATTCGAATCAGCGGTAAGTTGACAACATACATTGACATTACAGTGTAGTCTATACAGTAACATGTAGTTTACAGTAATAGCCATATTTTAAGTATAATAGGTGCTGTTTGATTTATTTATTGAAAATCTAAACAATAACAATAAGACACGATTTCAAACTCATACATTGGCAGTGAGAGAGCTGGTTTTATCTGAAAGCCGAATTCATGTATGAAATAAGAATGGCTGCAGCTACGACGTAGTCGCTGGTATATAGCGCTCAGCCCGTCTGCCCGTGTGTCCGTGCGTCCGGAATGGTTTCTCTGAGCATAACTCAAAAACTATACCACTTACAAACTTCAAATTTGGCATGGAACTTACCCTTATGGTGCCATTGTGGGTTTTGGCTTTCAATTGCATGATGCCAAAATTGAAAGTTTTCCTAAAATATTACTTTGGTATTCAATAATGGTATTGAAGGCGATCGGACTATAAGCGGGGGTATGTGAGCTGTGCTCACTTCTGCCTTGTTATTGAATGTAATTATAAAATATTTATAGTATAAAACTATTGTTTTTCAGTACCCTATTGTTCTATTTGTCAGCACCCAAAATATGATTATCATAAAGAAAAAATTACAGTGACTCCAATTTCTTATTTTTCAGATATTTAAGACCAAATATAAAGAGAATAAGTTATTATGAAGACCTTCTTGTGAAGTATTCTAAAGCTGCAGACAAGGGTTGGGACACTCTTTGTGGAGAAATTGCAAAGCAAGTGAACTCATCTGTCCTTTCATATACCTCCTCTCTCCACCCCACCCCCACCCCCGTTATCAATTCTCGAAATCTCCCCAAACTTTTAAACTGTTCCTACGCCTATGCAGGAGGTACCAAACCAAGGGCACCGAGAACAATGGGGAGCCTGGCGACAGTGTACTTGGGATGCAAGCGAGGCATTTCAAAGGCGGGGTCCGCATATTTATCATGCTTTTCCTTAATCTTGCCAATCACATTGGTGTCAAAAGGGACAGAAAATTTAATGATATAAATAAATTCATTGGCTTTATCAAAAAGGACAAGATCAGGTTATTATTAGTAGTAGTAGTAGTAGTAGTAGTAGTAGTAGTAGTAGTAGTAGTATAATGGACATTTATAATGCGCCGTATCCACATACTTGTTAGTAAAGTTAGTAATAGGTGCTCTTGAAGAGATAGGTTTTGAGGCGAGATTTGAAACTTAATTGCGACTGAAATCAGAAAGTTTAATGTTGTACTGTGGAATCAGATTTTTATGCAGTGGATTATTGGTCACTTTGTTATGTTTCTCATTCATAACTCCATTTCAGTCAAATATATTGTTTGAATACATTAAAAAACTCCATTTCAGTCAAATTCGGCTATATGTTGTATTTACCCCATCAAACCCCGAGCATTAATGTTCAATGGATTTCTTTGGTGCCTGGTATCCAACTCGAACCTGTTCAACGGCTAGCTCAGGACTCCGGACTCAGGATTTTATTCTCATAAATCATACAAAATGATATCGAGAACATACATATATTTTGATAAATACAAAGTTCCATTTTGGCTTATATGCATATGAATAAAATATAAATGTATAACTAAAACAGGGAGATTACAATTTTCGTTAAACGTGACAGTTTCTGTACCAAAGGATGAAGGCCAGATTTCATAAGGGAAACAAACTTATCAATATGGGGGTTATTACAAAAATAGTTAGGGAGTATACTTTTTATTACATCATCTAGAGCTCTGCATGATAATATACATGTAATATGAAATTCGTCACATATAACAGGCTGGTTACAAATTGTACATATTCTATTTTCTGTGTCTATAGTATACCATCTGCCGGTTTCAATCGGTAATCTGTGATTGCATGTTCGCAGTTTTGTTAACAAGATACGTTGTTTCAATGGGAGACTGATTAAATAAGGTTCTAAGTTGGGAGTATGCTTATATAAGGAGTAGTATTTACCTTTTGATGAGTTTTGAAGGTCAGCATTCCATGATTGCTTAAACTGATCTATAAGTGTGTATTTAACATAGTTTTTCAGCCAGGATGCGGAAGGAAACCTTTGGGACTGCCATATATAAGATAACCCAACTTTTTGAAGGATACTTTTCACTACATTTAAAAGATCAAATTGAATACCCAAACAAGTTGACACATTAGCCATTACATTATACACTATATGAGGTAACTTATGTATTGATGTAATGACTTTACGCCAGTAACTTATTATTCTTGTTTTAATCATTACTTCAATAGGATATCTACCGAGTTCCCCATCAACCATAAAATTTGGAGTAGATTGTCTTACCTTAAGTATATACTTACAAAATTTCAGATGCGTTCTTTCTAAAATAGCTGCATTTTCATACCCCCAAACTTCTGACCCATATAATAAAATTGGTAAAATGCATTGATCAAAAAGTTTCAGCTGACAGTCAATTGGGATTTCAAGTTCCCTAACAGTTTTAAAAACAGAAAACATCGCCCGTGTTGCTTGTTCTGCAAGTCTCTTAATAAACTCGTCTATGTTGATATAGTCGCATCACAAAGTTTACCCTTGACAACCCAAGCTGCCTGGAGGCGCTAGAAGGTTATAGTCACATGACTTATCGGTGTCTTCCCATTCTGCCTACAGTCCCCTTCTGCCTACACATTAAAACAACACGATGCAGTCCAGTGATCAGGAAGTAAGGTTAATGTGCTGACCTATTCTACCTTTACCTTTTAAAAACAGAAAACATCGCCCGTGTTGCTTGTTCTGCAAGTCTCTTAATTGCATTAGCAAACTTACCATTGCCGTTAAATAGAATTCTCAAGTATAGATATTCTCGGACAACTTCAATTTCCTCATCAAAAAGTTTAAACCTATATTTGTTCTTTACATAGCCTTTTGAAAAGATTACAATTTTGGTTTTATCTAAGTTAACTTCAAGTTTCCACAATGTACAATATGTTGAGAAATTATCTAAGCTTAATTGTAATTCTTCAGCACTTTCCGATAACAAAACAGTATCATCTGCATACAATAGTGCTAATAATTTAATATACATGTCAAGCGGTTCCTCAATAAAACAAGTACCAAGTCCATTTACATTGTGTTCACATAAAATGGTTTCAAGGTCATTAAGGTAGAGAGCAAATAAAAATGGAGATAAATTTTCACCCTGTCTAACGCCAATATTACAGTAGAAGAATGGTGAAGAAGAATCACCATGTTTTACACAGGATTTAATTTGTTGATACATATTGTAAATTATCTTAAAACATTTGCTGCTTATATTACTTATAATCATTTTAATCCATAAACCATTTCTCCAAACCGTGTCAAAGGCCTGACTAAAATCTATGAAAGCACAATATAACTTTTTATTAAGACCTTTATATATATCGATAAGGGATTTCAGTAAATAAACATGATCTGTTGTAGAAAAAGCTTTACGGAAGCCGGCTTGTGCTTTACTTATAAGTTCAATGGAATCTGAAAAGTTTTGTAATCTCTCCGATAGTATGTAAGTGAAAACTTTGCCCAAGCAGCTTACAATTGTTATACCTCTGTAACTATTAGGGTTTGATGGACACCCTTTATTCTTATAGACTGGCCTGGTGTAACCGAGTAGCCAGGATTCAGGTAGAACTCCATAATCAAACACACAATTAAACAATCTAACATATACAGGCATGAGAGTATATAGCGTTGCTTTGATCTATTCAGTGTGTACACCGTCAATACCACAAGCCTTGTTGTTGTTGAGCGCTTTCACTGCACGAGCTATTTCGCTTTCTGTAATTGGATTATCTAATATGTCACATTTACTCAATTCACGCATGTCGATGTTTACATCATCGCTTTCATCAGTCTCATTCATACCTTTAAAATGGTTAAAAAGCTTCACCAACTCAATATTGACATTTATTACGCTTTTTCGAGAAAGATTTTAAACTGTTCCAAAATGTTTTAGGATTAGATTTTTGTGCCAAGCGTATTTTTCCTGCACATCGCCTTTTGTAGGCTTGATTTGACTGTTTCAGAGTTCTGTTATAGTTTTTACAGGCCGTAATAAACATTTTGTGGTTTGAGTCAGACTTGTTTTTGCCAA